CCCAGGGGCAGCTGGTCACGGCCCGCCTGGCTGCCCCCGGGCCCTGCCCCGAAGGCCCGCAGCCACTGGGCGCCCCCCCGCTCAGGGACGAGAGCCCCGAGAGCAAGAGGAGGAGGCTGACCTCCACGCCGTGGCCGTCCGCCTTCCAGCCGCTGCGCAGCGCACCCGGAGCGACCCCGGTCTTCGTGCCCAGGCCGGGGCCGCTCATTCCGGGCCCGCTCATTCCGCTGCCGCTGCACCCGCGGCCACCAGTCCTGCACCCGCCGGCCCTGCACCCGCTAGTACTGCGCCCGCCGGACCTACGTCTTGTCGAACTGCGCCCGCCAGACCCGCGCCCGCCGGACCTACGACCGCTGGAGCTACGCCCGCCGGATCTACGCCCGCCAGATCTATGCCCGCCAGATCTACGCCCGCCGGACCCGCGCCCGCCGGACCTGCGACCACCGGAGCTACGCCCGCCGGATCTACGCCCGCCAGATCTACGCCCGCCTGACCCGCGCCCGCCTGACCTGCGACCACCGGAGCTACGCCCGCCAGACCCGCGACCACCGGAGCTACACCCGCCGGACCCGCGCCCGCCAGGCCCGCGACCACCAGAGCTACGCCCGACGGTCCCGCGCCTGCCGGACCTGCGACCACCAGAGCCTCGCCCGCCGGACCAACACCCGCCAGATCCCCGCCTGCCTCCCGGATCCCCAGGAGTCCTTTACATCTGCTGCCCAATGTGCTGCCCTTTCTGCCCCGCACGCTACGCCAGGCCGGAGCTACCACCGTTCCAGCCCCAGCGGCCCAACTGGGCACCTCCGGTCTTCCTGCCCTTCCCAGGGCCCATGCCACGGGGGTATCCCTACCTCCTGCCCGGCCAGCCCCCTAGGCTCCCAGGGTTCCCGGGGCTCCCCGGGGTGAGAACCCTGCCTCCAGCTCCTGACACGAAGCCCCAGGACCCTTCCACCCCTCCCCCGTAGAAGTCATTGGGTCACTGGGGCGCCCAGCACCCCTCCTACACGGGGCACTTATCCTGATCTCACCAGTTCCTCCCAAGCCCTTGCCCTGCCAGCCCACCCTTGCCCAGCTGCCCCACTTGGATGTTTGTTGTTTATATAATAATAAAAGCACAGTTCTATGGTCCTAGAGACTATGGTCTTCTCTCTTTCAAACACTGGACCATGTGTCCTCCTCCTGGGTGCTCTGGCCGTTTGGGCCCGGGTCATTCTTCATGGTTGGGGCGGGGTTGTGCCTGGGAGGGTTGAAGAGGCAGCCCTGGCCTCTCACCAGTAGATGCCAGGAGCACACCTGCTTCTGTCACAACCAGCAGCTCTCCAGATTGCAGACTAATCCCTGGGCTGGGGATGTCAAAAATTCACACTGGTGGGTCGTGGAGATAGCTCAGTGCCTGCCTGTAAAGTGCAAGGACCAGGATGCAATTCCCATTACCTCATGCAGTACCTGCCCTGCGCTGAGCTGGCCACCCAAACCAGGCGTGGTGGTGCAAGCCTGTAATCTCAGTGCTGGGGAGGCTAAGCCAGGAGGATCACTATAAGTCAGAGCTAAATAGTGAGATCCTGTACCAAATAAATATATGATTTTTTTAAAATTACAAAAAATATTCTTCCCCCCAAAAAAAGAAATCACCTGTGAGGAGTCACTGAACATGGTGAGAAACAGGCTGTCATCCAAAATGTGCAGTTTTATATGTTATCAAAAATACATAACTGAGAGGGCCAGCCAAATAGCTCAGCAGATTAAAGCTCCTGCAAGCAGGCTCAGGGGCCAAGAGTTTGATCCCTGGGTCTGCTGTTCCAGCCCTGCCTCCCCTGGTGTGGCGGGGGGAGGCTGAGCCAGCAATTGAGACTGGGCTGGTGGCTCGAGCCTGTAATCCCAGCACTTGGGAGGTTGTAAACAGGTGGATCACTACAAGTCTGATCTAGTAGTGAGACCCTAAACACCCTGTAGACCCTTTCCTAAAATACAAAAAATTTTTTAAAAATACGTAATTGAACAAAAATGAAGTGATGTGTGCTTGCAAAATGTATTTCTAGGGGCCGGGGAGATAGCTCAGTAGAATAAGCACTTGAAGCACTTGCCTGGCAAGTGCATGGGCC